GAGATGGGGCCGGAGCCTTCTTTTGTTACCAAGCGCCCAGGTCATTCTGCTATGATCAAAGGTAGAAAAACCCGGGGATAAGCTATCGCTCTGAGAGGAGCCTGTTCCCCTTGGCCTGGGCCAGTAGCCATGACACAGAAGGCACATACTTGATGAATACTCAGATGCACATTTGCTCAAATCCAGGTTCTGCCAGTTACTTGCTCTTTTACTTCTCTGACCTCGGGATTTCCCGCCTGTACGGAGGGCACAGTGACGAAATGGGAGACCACCCCTGTGCCTGGCCTGAAGCAAAGCCCTTGCCGAATCTGTTGTTCTTTGGGTTCATTTGGAGGAGCTCTGCATTGGTAACTGCAGATGAGGGTGAATTAAATAAATGCCCCTCAACCAGGGAAATGGCTTCAGCGATGAGGATCAGCTGTGCCTGCTCAGCTTCACGCACGGGAAACGTGTGATTGGAACTGATTGGATAAAAAACAGAAGTGTGTCCCCACAGGAAAGGTTAAAAGATGTTTAACCTTAAGAAAGGGAATTTGATGACCAGAATGGTCTATATGTCAGAAAGGGTAGAAGTTTTCCCTGGCAGGTTTGCTTGATGGTTAGAGCACTGGCCTGAAGACTGAAAGGTCTCGGGTTCGATTCCTAGTCAAGAGCGTGTATCTTGGTTGCAGGTTCCATCCCCGGTCCTAGCTGGGGCACATGGGAGAAACGGCCAATCAATATGTCTCTCTCACATCAATGTTTCTCTCTCCCCCCACCTTCCCTCCATTTCTCTCTTTCTAAAAATCAATGGAGAAAATATCCTCAAATGAGGATTAACAAAAAGAAAAAGAAAAAGGGTAAACACTTGAAGTAGGAAATGATGGGAAGCCATATTTCAGGCTGTTAGAGAAGCTGAAGTCAGACTGAAGGTCAGCCAGTGAGAAACCCTTCGAAGGCCCGTTCACGGCCGGGTGGACAAACAAACAGCAGCGATTCACACCACAGACTGCTCGTTGTGTGGCCACAGAACTGACTGCTGATGCACGCAACGCTGGGTGAATCTCAACAGCATGATGAGTATCAAAAAGCCAGACACAAAAGAGATCCGCAGGATAATTCCATTTACATAAAGTTCAAGAACAGGCAAAAATAACTGGCGTGCTATAATTCAGAACAGGGGGAATGGGGGGGTATGAATTGGCTGGAAGAGGCACAAGGGACATTCTGGGGTTACTTGGGTAATAGCAAAATGGGTAGGAATTTTTTTTAAATGCTCCTTGGGCCTGCACCCTTTCTTTAGGACGTTTGCCCTCAAAAGCACCAGGTCCTGCCCCTTTAACAACCCTCCAATGACTGCCTGCTGCCCTCAGCATCAAGCCCAGACCTCTCCCAGGCTCCTCGGTCCTACAACAGAAGGTCTCAGAGGACAGTCACATGGAGGAGGTTCTGTGCTGAGGCCTGAGCCCATGCAGATGATGAAACCAGACTCCAGGACAATGTTCTTCGAGTGGGTGACTTTGCACCAAGGAACAACTGTCAACATCTGAAGATACTTTCTGTTATCACAACTAGGAACTTGGTACTACTGGTATCTAGTGGGAAAAGAGGGCAGGATGCTGCTAAACATCCTACAATGCCCAGGACAGGTCCCTAAAAATGAATGATCTGGCCCCAAATGTCACAGTGCCAGGGTTGAGCTTGAGAGACTGCTGTCGGCATATTATTTCAAGAGAGCCCCTCCTCCGCAAAACTAGCTCCTGCCAATTTCTTTACCCTCACCTTCTACCCTCTGCCCTCATGTTCTGCTACCTCAGTCTTCTTGCTGGTCCTCCCCCAGAACCATCAGAGAATAAACATGTGTCATTTCAAGCTGCCAGGTTTGTGTTAATCAGTTACGACAGCCCAGGTGGCACCCAGGAATCCGCATGTTAACGGCCATCCCCCTTTGCTGGCTCTGACACAGGAGATCGGGTGGATCATACAGAGGGCAGCAGTGCCAGGCTGCTTCTCAAACACAGCCCAGTTTCAGGGACCCAGAGAATTCTGTTAGAGCTGGAAGGACCCCACCGCAAACATCCACTTCTACCTGCTGATTTTAGAGATGGGGAAACTGAGGCCCGGGAAACTCTGCTGCAAGGTGGGAGGATGAGACATGCTTTCATTCAACTGTCTTTACTGGCTTTCAGATCCCATTTGGAGGTTTCCAAATGAGTTATTGTGCAGACTGTCGATAGCTTTTCTATCTCATAATGACCCAATCGTGGAACGATTTAGCAATCCTGCTAATTGCATTTGGGGATATAGCAGTTGGGTAACTAGTTGGTGATTACTCATTCCCAAGAGCCCTACACATTGCATTATAAGGAAGCTAATCTTAGAAATACTTGTTAACGTCGATGATAATTACTAAGTAATTGGCTAGAACACGCCATTGTGGGTTTATCCAGGATCTGCCAGGTAATTATCTGGTCTTGTGTTCCCTGTAAAATAAATCCAGAGTACAAAAATGGTTCCAGTTTGTTGGCTATCATCCAACCACCGACCTCTGCCAGCTAACTGTGCGAATGCGAGCGATTAATCAAATTACTCAAATATTTGCTTTTGAACTGAATGTTAAGAAACCTGGATGGCCAACAAGTGGACGGTGCTAAATGGGAAAGAGGGGTGCACAGAGGCCCCCCCAAGATAAATATATAATCACCCAGTAATGTGGGATAAATGCCACTTCTTTGGAGGCTCATCTGCCTTCTTCACACAAAATACCAAAACACTTCAGAGACCAATTATTTGTCCCAAAGCTGCAGCGCCTTTATCATGGTGCCAGGAAGAGGCTGTGCTATTTGTGAAATTTGCAGGCAGTTATGATGCTCGGGAGGGGGCTCAGAAGAGGGGCTGCAAACACAGCTGGCTTGTAGGGTGGAGAGACACATTTTCATAAGGACCACTTATTTGTCAAGGGTGGCTGCTAACCGAGCCGTCTATTTCCAATTAGCCAACCCTTGGGAAAGGGGTGAGAGGGGCTTGGGGACCTGGGTTCCACTGAAAACCCTGAAAAAGTTGGAGAGTGGAGGCAGGAGGTCCTTAGGAAGGCCAGGCAAAAGAGAAAAGACGGTGGATTTCAAATTTCTAATTTGGGGATGTGAAAAAAGGGATTAGAAAGCCAGAAGGTGAGAGAAAGTTCGGGAGCAGACTGGGGGGTGGGGGGAGGGGGCAGGGGTAATGGGCAGAAGGCCAGTGCTGGGGAACAGACCACCTTCCAACCAGACCTGTGCGCCCCAAGGAGAGGCTACTGCCTGCCTGCTCATGAAGACACATGCTGGGCAAGAAAGGGGGCTAAGGGCCTGTGTTGGCAGGTTGTAAAAATGGCCACAGAATGTCCCGTTCTCTGCATCCATGCCCTTGCAATGTGACACTACAAATCCTCCCCTCCAGAGGCAGGGTCTGTTTCTCCATGCCTTAGGCTTAAGCGGAGGTTGTCCATGTGACTTGCTTTGGCCATTAGCCAATGTGACACAGATGTGAAAGGCACTTGTCCACTGGGGCTTACCCTCTTGCCGTTCTTAGAGCCCTGGGATCATGATGGGAATGAGCCTGAGCTGCCCTGTTGGGGGATGAGAGGCCAGGTGGAGGAGAATCCAGGCACCCAAGTGGATAGTCTGCTAACCCAAAGGGCATCCAATACCAACCAGCCCCCATCTGATCTGTCAGCTGACCACAGACACATCTAAGAGCCCAGCTACTGAGCCTGGCTCAGTGCAGAACTGTCCACAGAATAGAGAGAAACTATGAAGTATGGGGGTAGTTTGTCACTCAGCAAAAGCTTACTGATACACTCACCTAATAACAACCCCTCAGCTCCTGGATATTACCGGGGCTGATTATTTGAGAGCCACGCTGTCCTGTGGACAACCACCATTTTCACCATTTAAGGAGAGTTGAAGGACTATACCCAAATCCCCAATCCTTTGCAAACACTTACAGTCTGACACATAGGTTCCAGTCAACCCACCATCTGCATCAACAATGGTGACAGACAATCACACTCCTTCTACCAACCACCCAGGTCTTATACATGGATTCCAGGAGGCTTTAATCACAAGGGAACAAATCAAAGTCACACCAGCTCTGCCCTGAGCCCACAGCTCCCACCACAGACCTGCCGAGAAGTGAGGCTTATGTATTCGGGACATTACAGCTTGAGTTGAGTTCGGGGAGGCAGGGGCTCCTAATTCACCTTGTCATCACACGCTACCCCAGAACACCGCTGCTGTGGCTAGTCCTAATGCAACAAGGGAGAGGATGCCAGTTTGTTCCACACCTAAAACGTTCAACTAAAACTGAAGCTACTTTTTTTTTCAATGCTCATGTCACTGGGCAAGGTTAGAAAGAGCAAATGCAAGAAAATCCCTACCGCCTGACATTTTCTAATGTGAGTCCTCTACTAATGACCCCTCTGTGTAACGACAGACCACGATCCTGGACATTTCAAAGCACAACAGTAAGGGCCCGCACACATGCTCTGATGCTTTGAGGAAAGCCAGAGTTACAGCCATCAGAATCTTACTCCAAGGGTTAGCAAACTAGGTCCATGGGCCAACTCAGCCCATTGCCTGGTTCTGCAAATAAAGTTTTATCGGTACACAGCCACGTACATCCATCTGTGTCGTGTCTGTGGCTGCCTTCACACTACAGTAGCTGAGAAGTTCCGATAGCAACTGTATGATTGCAAAGCTGAAAATATTTACTATTGGAAAACGTTTGCAGACCCGATTTAGTCCGATCCAGTTAATTTCCATATAGAAAAAGTGAGTCTCAGATGTGGTTTCACAAATACTTGAAGCATGGGGGGGACCTAGAACCGACTTCCCGACACCCCATGCAGTGCTCTGCCGAGGAATTTTAGCATTCAGAGGGTTTTCTGGAAGGGCAAACCTTAAACCACACCCTGTGAATGCTAGAGCAAACCCGAATGCCCATTTCTGAACCCTGCCAGAGGCGGAGCTCCCGGGGGGACTGACCTGGTGATGATGGCCAGGTGGGGCGGGCTCATGCAGGCGCCCATGAACAGCACCACGTTCTCGTGCCGCGTCTGCCTGTAGGCCATCACCTCCCGCTTGAAGGCCTTCAGCTGCTCCTCGTTGTCCCTCTCGATGTCAATCAGCCGGATGGCCACCTCGCCGTGCCAGCGGCCGTGGTACACCTGCCCGAAGCGGCCCTTCCCGATGAGCTCGCCGATCTCCAGCTGCTCGAAGGGGATGTCCCACTCCTGCAGGAAGATGCTGGTCTGGCTGGCCTTGCGAGGGAAGCTCCGGGCCGAGAGGAGGGACAGGTTCATCTCCTCGAAGTCGTCCTCCGACTCCTCGGCCTCGTCGTGGCCCTCTTCGTTCTGTGGCCGACGGGAAACACTTAGCTGTCCCCGCACTGCCGGGGACACCCCCTCCCACCCTCCCAGGTATTCCGTGGAGCATACCGCCCTGGGGATTTATCTGGCCCTGAGCTGTTTTTTCAACCAAAAATGCAAATGGCTTGCCAACTTCTGCACAAGTAGCTTTTCCATGATGCTCACCACATAACGGCCCGTTAGGCTGGTGCCGGGAGGGGTCACCCCTTGGTAGTTGTCCCAGAGTTAGGACAGCTATCACTCAGGACCCCGAACCCCGACCACCCCAGCCCCCTGCATCAGCAAGGGCATCACTCGACTTTGCCGAGTTCCAGGAAGCCCTGGCAAAGCTGGCTTCGCCATCCCCAGTTCTCACCTCTGAGGTCGGCTCCACTTCAATTTGAAGTAATGGGTTTCCTTCCAAGCTTTAAAGAAAGAAAAGTAAAAGTGACCCTCAGGTGCAAAGGTGGGCCTCTGCATTGAGCTGATTCTGGTATAAGAAGCCCCCAAAGTGAGAAGCCCTCACCACCACACCTTCACCTCGAATTTCACTTCAAGGCTGCTGTGAGAAATAGTCCATAACCTCGCCTTAAAAAGCAGCACACGAGGACCCTGTTTTCAATACATTTTTCTGGGCTGCTCGGGCTCATTTTTCACGACTGTGTTGGTTTCCACTAACCTAGCAGCTTCCTTATACACTGCCCTCAATGCCGCGGGTGGAAGAGTCCTAGGAGCCCTAGGTGTTCCCTAGGAGAGCATTAATCAGGTCTCCAAGGTTCACTGGGATTTGGTATCTTTTTAAATGATCTGAGTGTTCATGTGTTCATTCATTCATTCATTCATTTGTTCACAATTCTGTGCCAGGAACAGTGCTAAGCTCTTAGAAGGAAACAGACTTGAAACTGGCTCCTGACTTTAAGAAACATTCTATTACCACTGAAGGAACTACAGCGAGTACACAGATATTGTGCAGAAAGGCTAAGCAGGGGCCCAGAGTCAGGTAGGAACTGAATAAATGGAGTGACATGGAAATTCCCAGGGGAGAGGATTCCTGGATGGATCTGGGAGTCCATCGTGTTTAGTTGGACCTTGCAGGTCACACTGAATCGAGATGTGTGGAATGAGAATGAAGAGGAGGAAGCAACACTGTGTTGGACTGGAAGACACAGGTGTGGGTGTGTGTGCACGAGCACGCATGTGCATGAGATGCTTTCACAAGCTCATGAGCTGCAGTTGTGTTGCAAACCTGGGAGCATGCTGGGTATGGCACTGGGGGCCCAATGGGTGTGTGCATGTGTCTGTGTGTGTGCGTGTGTATGTGTGCACACTAAGTATATATATTGAAGGTATAGCGTGGGTATTATGGGATGTGTTCTGTGCAGTTGTCCGGGCCTGTGAGTGTGGTGTCACTGGATGTGTTCTGAGGCTAAGAGGGGATGTTAAAGTACATGGGATGGAAGGGGAGGAGATATAGGAAAAGTGTGTGTTAAAGGGTTTCTGGGGGGTGATTCAGAGGATGTGTATGTGTTTATAGGGTGAGCTAAACAGATGGGAGGAGAGAATCAATGGATGCCATGCCCCCTTCCTCTTTCCCCAGCTCAGCAGATTCTCCTACCACCTCCTTATCTGAGGTCTCCCCTATCCTGACCCTCAGACCCCAGAAAGCTGCTGACCCTGCCGACAGAGTCCACCTGCTCGTTGGAGGGGCTCCCGGTGAGAAGGCGTCTTAAAGACTAAGAATTAGCTGGAGAAAGAAGGGGGTGACAAAGTGGCATTTGCCATCATGTTAACTACATACAGTTATTCTGACAGGAGGTGGAATGGCACCGCACAAGGATAGCTGATATGCTGGGAGCCTGACACCCTGGGGGAGGCTGGGGTGGGACGGTGAAGCTGGGATCCCTCCTCGTACCCTACCACTCGGCCTTTCTCTGTTACATCCAGGCGAGGCTGCAGCAGCCGGGCTGCTACATCATTCACCCTCCGTGAGGAGGTAGCGCCCATCCCCAGGCACATGTAAGCAGACTGCAGGCACGGATTAACTCTGTCTTCTCGCTGGCACTCCCTGGCTGTCGGTTCATAACCTGGAGCCTGTCTTGCACAAGTTGTGGAATTGGTTTGTGCAGGGCAGAGAAATGACCCGGAGCTCTATGTCAGCACAATATCCCCCGGCAAACTGCTGCTCCTTTGATTTCAGAGACGTACCACTTGGGTCTTTAACAAAGCCCGTAACACGGGTCAGAAAAAACGGAGCAGTTAGCAGAGACGGGAGAAAAACCAAGTAGGCAAAAATGTGAGTTGAGAAACCAGCAAATCGAAACTAGGTGTTAGGACATGTTAGGACATGCCCCAGACTTTGGTCATAATCAGAGAAGTTCAGGAAGACGATTTCACTTCAGCTGCCCAACCAGTGACCGCCCAGAGACTAAAGATGCCCACACAAAGATGTTCCTTGTGGAATTGAGTACAACAGTGAGATGTGGGAAGATGTAAGATCCTGCAATCAGGAAATGGGTAAGGAAATTGCCCCACATTGATACAACATTCTACAGCCATTAAAAACAATGTGTGCAAAGTGTCTCGAATAATATGAAAAATGCAACATTATAGCATTCTCGGATTAAAAATTAGGATAGAGACTGTGTATAACATGGATTACAAATAGATATACTGTGAATAGAAAAAGCACATATCTAATTTTTTTTTTAAAGAATTGTCCAAATTTTCCAAAAGTAGCCTATATTATTTGTGTAATAGTATAAGCCTGAGGTCAGTGAACTTGGTCTGTAAAGGGCCAGATGGTAAATGCTTTAGACTCTGCGGTCTATATGGTCTCTGTCGCATTGACTCCACTTGGTGGTTGGAATCTGAAAGCCACAAGACAGTATGTTGCAAACAAATGGGTGTAGCCATGTTCCAATAAAACTTTATTTATAAAAACATTTGGCACATTGGATTGGTCCACCATGGGCTGTAATCTGCTGACCCCTGGTATACACCTAAATTATACCTTTTAAAGAGGGGACAATTACATAGAACAACGACTCTTCCATTGAGAGCTGCCTCTGGCCTGCACACTGTCTTTCTGATCCTAGGAGGGCCGGGGGAACAAGTCCAGCCGCTAGCAATCATACGTGACAGGCAGGGCCAGGGGCACAAGGCAGAGCTGACTCGTGGGGGCCTCCTCTGCCTGGGCTGCCACACTCTCCCTCTCTTTGCTTGCCTCATCCCATGTCTCCCCTTCCCCACCCTGCTACGTCTCCCTCCCCTCCTCCCCCCTAGGATGTCAATTCCAGGAAGAGGAAGGTAGAGGGGTCCTGAGTGGACTACAGGCCGGGGGAGGAAGAGGCCACTGTGCACTTACATGGGATTCGAGGTCACTGGATGCAGGACGACCTGGGGCGCCCGGGTCGGTGTCTCCAGCACTGGCACCACATCTGACAGCAGAGATTAGATGCTCAAGACATGAACGTGGGGTCCACACCCACCAAAACCTGACTTCTGGAGGCTAGTAGCTGCTCACCAGCTCGTGGGTCCCTGGGGGCGGGCCAGTCCCCTCCCCTTCCTTGACCACCTGCTTAGATGCACCAGTGGTCCAGATGGCATCCTGACCAAAATTCCCTGTCGTTACCTAGGGGGCTGCCAGAACCCCCAAGCCTCTGGTCATCTCCAAATCCTCCCCATTCTTGATTCCCTTTGGAATGACGAGGCCACATAGTTGACCGCCTCTCCCCTTCCACGTGGCTCTGGGCCTCTCCTGCCCTTGCCCATCCTTCCACTGTGGACCACCTTCCCAGACCACCTCACTGGTGCCATTGCACCCTTGAGACCCCCTCGCTTTCCTTTTCCACTTCCACGTCCAGCCACTGTCCCGGGGCCAGTGATCCCACCACCACCCTCACTGAGCTTGTCACCTCACATTCACCTCCATCCATCCCACTCCGAAGGGGGTGAGCTCCAGGGACTCACCTGGGAAGATGAACTGCTGCTTGTACTGGTAGTAGTGGGACGCTAGCAAGAGAAAGAATCACCAAAGTGAGTGCTGCCCTAGAGCAGTTCCTTCGGGGACCCAATTGGGCTCCCATGGCCACAGTGTGGATTCTCTGCCTGCCCTTAAGGGTTTCCAGACTCCTGCAAACACCCAGAATTCCAAGGGACTCAGACATGTAAAGACACCAGAGCATTTAACACCCAAGCCAACCCTCTGGTTAAAAGCTCCCTGAATACAAAGCACCCCAAGTCAGAGTGTCATTCGGAGCACAATCCCATTTTTGGCAAATGCATAAGAATGCACACAGAGAAAAGTCTGTGGAACCACAATCTAAAACGTTAATTTCCCCCTTTGGGCAGAGTGATGGCAGTGACTGAAAAACAACGATGAGTTGCCAAATTCTATGCATTGAGCATTGTTTTCATATACATTTTACTAATTTTCTTTCATCTCTGACACTTCTCTTAGAGAGATAGGGTAAACAGCAATATTAAATTATTTTCTAATGAATCCCCTTTTAATGTGCACAAATTTTGTGCACCAGGCTACTATTGATAGTATGAAATAAGAGTGCATAGTAGGTATGGAGTATGTATTGGCTGCTTTGAATGAGCCAATTAGTTTTCTTATTGCTGCTGTAACAAATTATCACAAATGTTCTGGCTTAAAACAAATTTATTGTCTGAACTAAGTCCTAAGGGGCTAAAATCAAGGAGTGGCCAGGACTGGTTCTTTCTGAAGTTTTTTGCCTCTTCAGGCTCTTGGGGCTGCCTGCATTTCTTGGCTCACAGCCCAGTCTGGGCTTCCGTCTGACACTGCCTTCCTCTGTCTTTGACCTTCTTGCCTCCCTCGTCTGAGGATCCTTGTGATTACATTTAGAGTCCCCCAGAAAATCCAGGATAATCTTTCCACTTTAAGATCCTTCTGCCATATAAGGTAACATCTTCACAGATCCAGCGATTAAAACGTGGTCATCTTACGGGACCATTAGTCTGCCTACCACAAGCAGGAATGAATTTCCATGTGTAGGGAAAAACTCATGTAAAAGAAATATCCTCAACGTCACTGCTGATTCTCCCACAATTCATTTACTTCCATTTCACCCCTCTCAGAGGCCAGTTCTTCCAGACGATTCCCAGGGTTCGAACTTACTGGGGGAGGGGTGGTGAAGGGACCGGAGCAGGGGAGCCACTGTGTGTCAGGGGCAATGGACAGATCACACAGAGCTTCCTAGTCTCAAGTAAAGGAAGTGAGCAGGGATGGGCTCTGATACGAGTCTCAATCGTTGAAGACACTCCCAGAAACAATGTTATTCATTCAGAGACAAGTCACAGCTGGAAGCTGGCTCCCAGAGGATTAGCACAGTGGTTCCAAGCCTGAGGTCTGAAGGCAGGGTTGAATCCTTATTCCTCTGTTGGCTGTTTGCAAAAGCCTCTCTCCAAGTCTCAGCCTCCACGTGTATACTGTGGGGGTGATGAGTCTCCCCCTTATAGGGCTGAGCTCATCCTTATCCTCCTCCTCTAATAATCTAATAAAGAGGGGATATGCTAATTGATCATCACTCCATCACAAAGATGGCTGCACCCACAGCTGAGGCCAAGTTCCCATAAGGAGCCTTAACAAGCAATCAGCAGGGACCTGAGGCTCCACTCTCCCCTGCACCCACGGGGCTTGACAGGGGGCCTCAAGGTGCATCCCCAGTGCAGGGTCAGGGGAACTCAGGCCCCCTATCTTGGGGCCGGGCCAGGGGACCTGAGGCTATGCTTCCTGCCCAGCAGGGCTTGACAAGGGTGGGACTGGCTGGGTCTGGATCTAGCCCAAAGGGTGGGGGAGGGGAGTGGTGGCCGGGTCTGGGTCTCACACGATTTTGAGGCACACGTGCATGGGTGGGGACTTGACACTGGGTCCCATGGTGCACCCCAGACTCTGACAAGAGGAAGGTTTTCATATACATTTTACTAATTTTCTTTCATCTCTGACACTTCTCTTAGAGAGATAGGGTAAATAGCAATATTAAATTATTTTCTAATGAATCCCCCTTTTAATGTGCACAAATTTTGTGCACCAGGCTACTAGTATGAAATAAGAGTGCATAGTAGGTATGGAGTATGTATTGGCTGCTTTGAATGAGCCAATATCTTTTGAAGCTGTCTTAACAGACAAGAATAATTTTTTAAATTATTATTATTATTATTTTAAATATATTTTATTGATTTTTTTTACAGAGATGAAGGGAAAAGGATAGAGAGCTAGAAATATTGATGAGAGAGAAACATCGAACAAATGCCTCCTGCACACCCCCTATTGGGGATGTGCCCTCAACCAATGTACATGCCCTTTACCAGAATCGAACCTAGGACCCTTCAGTCCGCAGACCGATGCTCTATCCACTGTGCCAAACCGGTTTCAGCACAAGAATGATTTTTAATTAAGAGGCAATCAGATAGCTCCAAAGAGCTAAGCCATTAGCTGTCCTTGAGGTTGGACTTGATGGGATAATCAATCCCCACCTCCAACTCTACCCCAGGGTGGAGAGCAAATCCTGGCATCTCAGGATCCCAAGTGCCTGGTCTGGCACCTGTAGCAGTGGGTGCACAACTCATGTTTATTGAATTAACTCCCTTTCTTTTAGCTCAGCAAGTGCCCAAATTCCAGGTAGCTGGAATCCAAACAGATGCATTTTTTTATTCTGGAAATGAGTTGCCAGGGATGGGAAGCACAACAATTCAAGGTTACAGAGCAAAGTTTTGTTTTTTGGTTTTTTTAAAAAACATTTTATTGATTTATTACAGAGAGGAAAGGAGAGGGATAGAGTTAGAAACATCGATGAGAGAGAATCATCAATCAGCTGCCTCTTGCACACACCCTACTGGGGATGTGCCTGCAACCCAGGTACATGTCCTTGACCGGAATCGAACCTGGGACCTTTCAGTCCGCAGGCTGACGCTCTATCCACTGAGCCAAACCAGTTTCTGCCAGAGCAAAGCTTTAAAATAAAACCAACCTCCACGATTTCTGGGACCTTCTTCTGCTAGTAAACTAGGTGTGTTTTTTGTTTTTGTTTTTGTTTTTAATTGCATGCAGGCAGTTTGCTGTCAACAAGGGGCTAAAATTAAAGAAAGGAAAGTACCCGAGGTTCTCAATAGGCTTAGCTGATCTCTTCCCTCCTGGCGGGAATGGGGCTCAGTGGCCGCAGAAAGGTTAGCTGGCAGTGACAGCCTTTCAGGAGGAGTGGCTGGACACCAGAAGAGAGCCCTGCTCTGAGGAGGGACAGGTGACGGGCAATGGGACACCCTGCAAATGCCTGCGTGCACAGAGTCAGCCCCTCCTTGACTCTTCCTGCAGGAGCACAGCTGTGCCTGGTGACTGAAGGGAGGGAGTGGCCGGGAAAGGGAAGGCGTCACTGTGAGCCCTGTGCTCACTGATAAGGGACACCAGGGAGTGCTTGGGGCATCTGGTGGCTCTTGGGCTGTTGGCATCACGAGGTCATGAAGACTGAGAGGCTTAGATGATCAGACGTCAGAGGACGGGAGGCCATTGTGAAAGTGCTTCCACTCGGGAGGCCCTTCCCCCCGCCCTCCCCCTCCCCCCCGGTCCTCCCTAAGACCTCCCCAGTCAAAAGACTGAGTGGTCCGTCTTCTGAATGGAAGGATCCAGAAGGAAGGACCCCTTGCCTCCACCTTTCAGTGGCCTCCTACTGTGTCTTCAATCAAATCTAAATTCCTGCTCGGCCAGTGTGGTTCAGTTGGTTGAGCATTCTCCCATGCCCTAAGACAGTGGTCAGCAAACTACGGCTCACGAGCCACATTCGGCTCTTTGGCCCCTTGAGTGTGGCTCTTCCACAAAATACCACAGCCTGGGCACGTCTATTTTGAAGAAGTTTAAGTTTAAAAAATTTGGCTCTCAAAAGAAATTTCAATCGTTGTACTGTTGATATTTGGCTCTGTGGACTAATGAGTTTGCCGACCACTGCCCTAAGAGGTCACTAGTCCATTCCAGTGAGGACACATGCCTGGATTTTGGGCTTGGTCCCCAGCAGGGGGCATTCAGGAAATGGATCATTGATGCTTCTAGTTATCTCTCCCTTTCACTTCCTCTCTCTCTCAAAATCAATAAAAACGTATTTTTTAAAAAAATCTAAATTACCACCCTGCCCTACAAGGCCCCGCCAGGCCTCATGCCTGCAGCTGTCTCACTTGGCGCCCTCTGCCTTGTTTGTGGCCCTCAGGCCCTGGACGACTGTTCAGCTCTCCTGTAGCAGGGCCTCTGAACATGCTCCCTCTCTCTGCCTGGATACTCTCCCCATTTTCAGGACTCACCTGCCACTGACATTTCCACTTGAACTTGTTATCTTCTTCAATTTGCTCCCAGCACTGTCCTTCCTATCATTTTCATGTGTGTGTTTGCTTGGTTCACACCTGTCTCTCCCACTAAGCTACAAACTCCATGAGAACAGACTGTGAGAGGCAGAACAATCCCCACCCTCCCATGTCCTAATCCCTGGAAACTGGACTATATTACTTCACATGGCAAAAGGGACTTTGCAGATGTGACCATGCTGAGGGGAGATCATGCTGGGTTCTCTGGGTGCATCCTAAATGCAATCACAAGGGTCCTCATGAGAGAGAGAGGCTGGAGGATCTGAGTCAGAGTCAGAAAAGGAGATGTGAGAATAAAGCAGAGGCTGGAGTAGTGTGAGACCACCAGCCAAGGAATGCTGGCAGCTACTAAGAGCCGTCAGACAAAGAGATGGATTTTCCCCCCCTATAACCTGGCAAAGAAAACACCCTGCTGACACCTTGATTTTCAGCTCAGTGGCACACAATTTGGACTTGTGACCTCTATTACTAAAGATAACAGATGTGTCCTGTTCTAAGGCATGAAGCTTGTGGTAGTGTTACAGCAACAACAGGAAACTCATACTGGATGTGTCTGCTTTGTGCATGCCCCCTCTGAACACAGTGCCTCGGACAGTTCCTGGTACACAGGAGATGCTCAATAAATACGTGTTCAGGAAATAAATACATGGATGTGGTCAGAAGGCCAGAAGACAACTTAAAGAGGGGGAAAAACTGCAGCCCTGGGCAGGGCATGAACTCAAGTGGGAATGTGTGAGGTAGAGGAATCCTTGTGGTCCTTTCAGAGGTGAGAAAGCTGAAGCCGGAGGTCACATGGCAGGGGTGTGAGAGAGGATACTGAATCCAGAACTCCAGCCTCTCCTGGCGTGGGGGTAAGACTCAGAAAGCAGCACGCTCAGGCGTGTGGTCCCTGAGATCCTGAGCCCAGGGTCCCCTGCCAGTTTCAACGATTTAGCTCATAAGACAACTGCCAGCTGCCCCTGTGACTTAGACTTGGGTGGAGACACCAGCTTGCTGCTGACCTAGTCTTTACTTCTTGGAGCCTCAGTGTCCTCGCCTGTTAAATGGACCTGATAATACCTCGAGGCAACTCGAAAAGCAAGTGAGGTCATGTGTGGCAAGTGTCCTGCACGTAAGACTCACTCCACATGCCTTCAAGTGTGTCCCCAAGCGACCCTGGCATGAACCCAACACCTCCTCGCCTCCCCAAGCACTGAGGTACCTGGCAGGTTGAAGGTCTTCTGCTGCCTGGTGCACTGCGGGGAAGGGTGGAGGGGAGAGGGTGGCGTGGCGCTGGGAGGGAGAGGGGGTGCTGGCGAGGAGGGCGTGGAGGATGTCGTGGACGAGGGGTTGCTGCTGGAGTCTGGCTGGTAAGGGACAGGGATGTGGTCCTGCAGAAAGAAAACAGGGCGCGGGTAGCAGTGAGAGTGAGTTGAGCAGGAAGAGGCCCACCCCAGCTTCCTCAGCCCCGGATCCCCACCAAGTGGCATCCAGCTGTGGAAGGAACGGTTTCTGTAATCAGGTTCCTGTCCACTGTCTGGGCCCCCGAGTGAAGGCTGCCGCAGAATGCAAGCACGTAGGTGACAGCCATGCTCCGTTCTCTCGGAATGGGAAAGAGCCACGCAGAGGTGCCCAGCGTGCTCTTCTCATCCCGACACCTCTCCTTCCGAGTGTTTATTAAAGAATCGACAGCCAGCCAGCTCAGGAGAGAGCGTGAGAGGAGCCTCCGCACTCCCCCACTCCTTCCCGCCACTCCACTGGAACCAGCTGCCTCTCCTGGCCCCTGAACCTGCTCTAAAGCAGATGAAGGTAGAATTCACATGTGCATCCTCAGAGTGGCCCTGGTGGGTGAGTCAGGAGCTGTGGAGTGGGTTGAACAGTGTTCCTCCTGGAACCTCAGACGGGTCCTTACTTTAAAAAAGGACTCTACATGCCATTAACGTAAGGATCTAGAGATGAGATCATCCTGGGCTGGGGTGGGCCCTAACTCCAACGTCCAGTGTCCTTATAAGAAACAGAAAAGGAGAGACACGCGGAGGAAAAGACACGCACATGGAGGTAGAGGTTGCATTGATGATGCTCCTACAAGCCAAGGAATGGCAAAAACTGCAGGAGCCACCAGAGGTTAGGAGAGAGGTGTGGAGGGATTCTCAGGGCCTCCAGAGGAACAGCCCTGCTGACACCTTGATTTCAGACCTCTGGCCTCCAGAATAAGTGACGGATGTTTTAGCTCCCAAGGCTGTGCTCATTTGTTAACGGCAGCTCCGGGAAGCAAATGTAAGCAGGGTCTGCAATAGCCAGATGCCAGGCACAGTGTGGTCCTTCAATAAATGTGTGCTAGACAAAGGGGAGAAGGAAAGAAAGAATGAAAGGAGGAGAGTTGGAGGGGTGGAGAGAAGGAGAGAGGGAGAGAGAAGATCTATCTCTTCCTACTAGACTATGTTGTACTCATCTTGGAATCTGCCGAACTTAGCACAGAAATAAAAACTAAGTGGTTGCTCATAAATGTTACATGAATGAATGAATGAATGAATGAATATTAAAAAAAGGAAAAATGGAAGGAGAGATGGAGGGAGGGAGAGGAGGAACTGTCTTTATGGAGAAAATAATTATCTCTACTTCCTTGAGGATAGGAACCATGTCATTCTCTTCCGTGTAGTATAGCTCAGGGTTGAATGAGAGAGAGAGAGAAAGAGAGAGAGAGAGAGAGAGAGAGAGAGAGAGAGAGAGAGAGAGAGAGAGAGAGAGAGAGAGAGATGATGCCCACTTTCCCTGGCAAAATCACTCCCATAGGAGGGGACTCAGATCTGAATCCCAATGGGACCAGCAGCAGGGGGCTGTGTTCCACTAGAAGGAAACTCAAGCTCCCACCTCATGCATGGAAACATCCTTCAGGACCATCCAGTCCAAGCCCTTCACTCTATAGATGGGGCACTGACACTCAAAGCGGGGGGAGGGGGAGTGACTGTTGGAAGCATACAGAGTTAGTGGCCTAGGTCCCACCTTCTAGCCTAGAAGCAGAAACACAAGGTTGTGCCATCTCCACATTCATCTCCTCCATCTCCACTTCCTCCTCCATCATCTCCTTCTTCTCCACTTCCTTCTCCATCTCCCCATCTTCATCCATCTCCTCCTCCTCTGCCTCCCTCCCCCTCTTCTTTCTTCTTTTTCCTCTTTCTCCCTCCTTCCTATTCCTCCTCCTCCTTCGAATTCATCCTTCAGCTCTTCCACTCCACCTCCCTCTTCTTCTTCCCCCTCTCTTCTTCCTCCTCCATCCTCTTCCTTCTTCCACTTTCTTCCTAATCCTCCTGTATTCCTCTTCCTCATTCTCTGTCTTCTTCTTCATCCATTTCCATGCCCCAAGTATCCAGTGCTGGACTAAATTCTTTACACATATCTCTGTATCCAGTTCTCTCCAGAATCCCAATAGTAGTGTCTGCTATGACACTTCTCATTTTACAGAGGGAAACATCCAGGCAGAGAGATCTTGCTCTGATCACACAGTAAGTGAAGAAACTGAGTTCCAGGCCTTCTGACTAAAAAATGCAAACTCTGACCATTATGCCGAATGAAAAAGCTGGGCTTCTGCGAACCTGGATTGACGGAGCTAGACCGGAGGGGAGACAGACAGCAATGAAAAGGAAATCTTCAGACCAAATTGGCTTAGAAATCTATTGCACTAACTACATCATTGCCTGACAAAAAGAATCTGTGTGAAGCCAGTGAGAAGAGAAAGAGGGGAAAAAATAACCCAGCTCTATGATAGATTCTATCCACCTTCATGTCAAAGCCACTTTCTTAATAGAGGTTAATTTATTTCTCTTATCAAATTCTCCTGCTGGCAGACAAGCAGAACGATGTCACAGTAATTGATCTATCGTACCCGTGTTTCTGTCCCATCTAACACCAAGAGGCTCATTGTGCCTATAAATTGAGAGGGGAGGTTTGCGATGGCTCTGAGCTCCTTGTCCCCAAGATGCCACAAAGGAAAGGCTGGGCACAGGCATGCAGTTACTTCCCAGGGGCCTCATTGTGCAAGCCCCTCCCCCCCATCCCTCGCAGAGATGGGGATCCCCTCTCCCAGAGACCTACATCTTTCTCAAATAACAAAGCAAAGTGGACCCAGCATGAAATTTTGATTGGAAACCCAAGATGTAAGCTGATAATAGCTAGAATTTCCTGGTCACTAACCATGTGCCAAGGGACTGCGCTAAATTCTTTCAATGTTGATTATGTCATTCTTCCCACAACAACTCTCTAAGGTTGCTTTTATTCCCCACCACAGATGTTTTAAAACATGGCCACAAATTCCTCGGACTCTTCCCATCAACAGGATGGGGTCTACATCTCCTCCCTTGAATCGGAGTTGGCTGTTTCTATCAGCAAAATGCAACAGAATGGTCACTGCCAACCCTTGGCTAATGCACGTCAAGATACTGTCAGGTTATAAAAGCCCATGAATCTCCCACCCTGTTTGCTGAAGCAGCTGCCCCTCGAACCCTGAGCGGCCATGGAGGAGCCTAACTGTGCTGAGGCAGCCATGTGGGAGGGAAGCCCAGGCCACGAGGAGGCCCACAAGGAGGGCTCCTGTGGAGCTTCTACAGAGCCCAGCCCTGACTCTTCCCAGCCTGGGCACCAGGCCTGTGAGTGAAGGAGCCTCTGGATCGGGGCTGGCGACCTTTTCAGGTAACAAATCTATTGGGCTCTGTGAGTCATGTGGTCTCTGTCGGAACTACTCAATTCTGCCATTGTAGCCTGAAAACAGCCATAGGCAATAAGAGTGTGGCTTGTTCCAATGCAACTTTATTCACACACACACACACACACACAGGTGGTAAACTGGATTTGGCCTGTAAGCCATAGTTGCCAAACCCTGTTCTAGATTATTCCAGCTCCCTGCTGTGTAAGTTTTCCCACTTGAGTCCCTGGACATTATGAAGCAGAGATAAACAATCTCCCCCCCCCCCCCCCCCCCCCCCCCCCCCCGTGCCACTTCTTAATACCTGCCCCACAGACTCCAGGAGCATAATTAAAGGGCTGTTGTGTATACCACTAAGTTTGTGCAGCAGTGCATAACTGGAATGTACCCATTTTGCAGACAAGAAAACTGAGGCTCTGAGGGATTCCATTACTTGTTCAAGTCTCACAGCTGGTAAATAGAGGAAGCTAAGCCTGGCTGCTAGGTTTGCCTGAATTTAGAGGCCAAGTTCTCAACTGAGATGATGCCGCATGGAATCGGATGGCGAATGACTGAAATCTACCAGTAAAAATGGTGGGTGATAGCAGGAGAGTAAAAGGGCGTGGGCTATGGGGGGAGGGGGAAGGGGGGAGAAGGAGGTCAGAGACAGAAGGAGGGACCATGTTATGCACTGCTTGCAGGGTGCAGTATTTGATTTGTTTTCTGAATGCACTAGAAAATTACCAGATGCTTTTTAAGCGGAGGTGACACGATTTAAATTACATTCATTAAGCAGCACTCTGGTTGCTGCGTGGAGAACAGGCTGGGAAGGGGGCCATGTCCTCTGCAGTTTTATGCAGAGAAATTGGACTGGGCCTCACCAGTGAGAAGTCACGGTGCTCTTCTGGGTCCTGAGCACAGGTTGGTGACCTGCCACACTCAGGCTGACCCACACTTCACCCACCTTCAGTGCCATGCACGGAGGCATTCTGGGGCTTGAGAAGCTACCTGTTGGCATGTACAACTTTTGCCTCAAACTGTGGGGCTGGAAGTATAACTTTGGTGGAGTCCAACCAGCAGGCCAAACAAAGGATGTGGAAATCATACTGAAAGTTTCCATGTCACATTGGAAAGAAAGATGCCCAGACAGGCCCACGTCGGAGGATCAGCAGGAAGTCAAGCAAAGTGACTGTGGCTCTGAGCTCAGAGCCCCCACACAAACCCGTCTCTGGCAGCTCAGAAATGATCCCTGTCCCCTGGTGGTTTGACTCAACAGATGTGTCAGAAAGCCCAGAACCATCTGCAATGCTAATCCCTCCAGATGGCGAAACATCTCACCGAGCAAAGAGTGCGGGTCTGGACCACTATGGAACCTGTCTCAAACTCTCCTGCTAATCCCTACTGACCCCCCTCCACACACTCATTCATCCTCATTTCCATGTGCCCGCTCCCTCAGTTAGACAGGTTCCTGGCACACTCACTCTCCACTGATGGCTGGATGCCTGCCCTCCAAGCTTGAATCAACACCAACCACACAGAATTAGCAGTGCCCGGTGCTGGGAGGCGAGGGCATTACTCCCGATGCCCACCGAGTCCTGCTCCGGACCCCTCCTCCCTCCTGCAGCAGCATCTCTATGCCCAATAGAACCCCAACCTCACCTTGTTGATTTTGTTGGTTTTGGGGAGCGTCTGACTGATGTGCAGGTCCGAATACCGGGGTGGCTTTCGCAGAGGGTTGTTGATGTCACACGGGACCGACTCTGTCCGGACGAGCCTTGCTGGATCCGTAGGGATAAAAGCAGCAGTTTGGGATTTAAGGATTACTTGGGCTTGTATTCGAGGCCCGCCCCCAGGCTGGAAGGGATTCACTAAAAATGACAGTTATGTCATGTCAGGATAATGGCATCGGGAGCTCTCTCTGGCCGTTGTCTTTACTGTCAATATGTGACTTGACCATGACAAATTACAATAATAAAATGGAAGCTAACTATTTGTTTTCAATACCGTAATTTTTTCACATTGCTGCTCACTTCAGAACTGAACGCCTTTGAAATAACAGAGGTTCCTGATTTCTCAGGGTCTGTAATCACTGGACAAGCTCATTATGGCCACCCATCCCTGTCCATCTGACCTTCATGTCAGGATCACCTTTCATTACTTGTTGGATTTCTCAGGCTTAGCAGCCTGTCCCATGTCGAAGCACATTTGTCCTAATCAAGGCCACCGGGGTCCCTGGAGGAAAGGCTTGGCTTTCCCAGCCCCCCTCTCTGCCTCATCTTGAAGCTAGAGATCTGGGCACACGGCTGATGCTAAATAAATAATTAGTGCGCCAAGCACGTCACCCAAGCTCTTCTCCCTGCTACCCCTCTGTTATTTCTACTACGTACAGGGGCCACAGGGAGGGACAAAAAAATGATAAACTCAAATTCAAATTTGATGCTAATAAGTGTTACTTATTAGTTTTTTTAATTGTGGGGGCGAAGGGGGCTGGTTAGTGGAAAAGTTAAAAGCTTGAACTGACCTAGGGATTTAATTTCTCTGCTTAGCCTGAGCAGCCATCACCATAGAAACCGCCACTGTTTCCAACTTCCTACTGGCGATGGGGTGGGGGCAGCACAAATCTGGTGGACTTCTGGAAAGCTCTGTTTGCTCGCATGCACATAGGGGGCCCTTCTTCAGATGGCAGCCCCTGAGAGCCGTCTCCAGCAGGCTGGTCTGCTCTCCTCGTGGGGGGCGGGAGCCATTAGGAACCAGCTATGGATGGGAATTCTGTGGGTGGTGATTTCTCCAACAAAGCTGACCACAACAGTTCAAGAACAGGAGAATTCAGGTTTAAAACAGCCTCACTGAGTGTATACAGTTGTTCATGGAGCAGATGGCTCTTATCTGGAATGTGGGTGGGAGGGCAGGAGGGGCAGGGGGACAGGGGGACAGGGCACAAGAAGAGAGATCAAGACTTTCCCTTCACTTGCAATTTCCAAAGCAAAGATCTTCGAAGCCAACGGCCTGTTGGCTTTGGGGCGTGTCTCGGCACTTTCGGCAGCCGTTTGCCGCTCTGTAGCTTTCCCATGGGTTTGTCCCGGGAAGATCCCCCTGAGCGGGCACTGACCGGGGCGAGGACTGGGAGGGGGCTCGCAAGAGGACAAGGAGGAGCTCAGCACCCGCTTAGCAAGGCTCTACCCCCAGTTGGAGCCTTAGCTTCATGCAACCTATAGCTGGGGGGTGGCAGGGAGGAGGCCAGCAAGAATTTTTAAACTCTGAATAAGTTTCTACGTTTTTAAAATAAGCACAAAGCACATACAACGAGTCGGGCTTTTCTGTGGTGGGAAAAGCTGCGGCACAGGCTCACGGAGAGGCTGGCGGGGCTATTCTCCCTAGACACCGCCGGGCTCTCTCCACCGCGCTCGGCCCCATCTGGCCAGCTTGTCTTTCGTACGGCTCTTGCTTGGCCCTGGAAGGCATCTGAGTTGTAACTGCTGCTCCAGAGCAGCACTTCTCAACCTCAAAGTGCACAGGACTCAGCTGCAGATGCTGCTGAAATGCAGACTCTGATTCCATGGGTCAGCAAAGGAGGCACCAAGCTCCCTGCTGATTCTGGCACTGCTGGTCCTTGGGCAGCAAATGTTAAATACTTACCTCCTCGGTGGATGATGAGGAGATGACAGGGTGGGGCTTCTTTGGTGCATTTGTTGTGGCACTTTAACCTGAGAGAAAGAGAGAGGAGGATGGATGGGTGGGTGGGTGGATGAATGCATAGATGCATGGATAAACAGAGGCATGGATGCACAGACGGATGATGAGTGGATGGGTGGGTGCATAGATGCATAGATCATGGATAAATAGATTGATGGATGCATGCATGGATGCCCAGATGGACAGACGATGAATGGATGGATGGGTGGTGCATCCATGCATGTATGATGCATGCTCAGATGAACAGAAGGATGGATGAATGCATGGATGGATGAGTATATAGAACAAAAGCAGAGTGGACTTTTGTTTTTACACCTTTGATAAACCAATATGGAGTCACTGTCAGCCATGATAGTCATGTCAAGCACTATGTCAAGACTGAGGTAATGGGGTGTAACAGGAACAGGAACAGGCCAAAAGCATAAGTCTGGACACTTAGGTAAAGGCTCCATTGGGCCTCTGATATGAATGAGATCTCCACTCCTAAGGGGCTATTAAGAACTCAGAGCTTTGACCATTCAACACTCAAGCTCGGCTGCAGCACAGGTCACGCTGGGAGCATTGAGGGACTCCCACTCCAGAGGCTATTTGCCGCACTGCAGTCACCTGGTTTAAGACTACTGTGGACACTGCCAGTGACCAGGACTTTCCCCTGGATGCTCACTCTGTTCAGTTCTACCACATAAGCTCCCCGTCTCTGTGTGCAGCTTGCCTGTGACTCTGCTGGCTTACTGGGGAGTTCTCCCCTACTAAACCTTTTGGGGATTCTCCCTTGCCACAACAGTGAGTGGATAGATGGGTAGATGGATAGATGGGAGGTTAGATGGATTAATGAATGTGTGGATGGATGGATGGGTAGATGGGTCAATGGGTGGGTGGATGGATAGATGGATTGGTGGGTGGATGAGTGAGTGAGTAGATGGATCGATTAGTCTATGGATGGGTGGGTGGATAGATGGATTGGTGGGTGGGCGAATGGGTGAGTGGATTAATCGATGAGTGTGTGGATGGGTGGATGAATGGGTAGATGGGTCAACGGGTGGGTAGATGGATGGATGGATGGAATGCCCCAGTAGTTGAGAAAGCTCTGAGTACTATGGATACCAAATTGTAAGATGAGATAGGGCAGCTACTGAAAAGATATTATCCTTGGCAGCCAAGAAATTAACTCTGGAGAGAGTCTGCTGCCATACCATTCTCATGGGTCAGCCCTGGGTGGCCCAAGAGTGAGTAGACACTTCAGCAGTGCCCACTTCATGCTATAAAGACATTTCCTCCTATCAGTCTGCATTTATCTTTGTCATCATCATCTTCCAATCCCAATAATCATCTACCATTTACTTGAAGACTCATTTGATGGCCATGGTACTACACATTTTACAGACAACAAGCCACTGGATCTTTATAACAACCTTATGAAATAGGTATTATCATCATTCCATCTTACAGATGGAAAAAAAAGATGACCTGACTCACCCTAGTAGAATACCTACGTCAGTGGTGGCCTCTAATTTTTCTTAAAGGCTCTAGTTGTCAGAGACAGCCACCCAAGGCAGTGATGGGAGCTCTCCTTCACTGCTGGGAGGGTGGGGCATGCAGGTTCCACTTGAGAGGGGAGCTTATACGTGGTAGAAGCGAGCAGAGTGAGCATCCTGGGGAAAGTCCTGTCACTGGCAGCATCCACAGTGTCTTAAGCCAGGGGACTGCAGTGGCGGCAAACAGCCTGTGGAAGCCCCTCAGCCTCAGAGGGCAGAGCTAGGTGTGGGAGCACAACCGCGGCTCATGCAGAACGTCCAATAGAACCGGCTCTGACGCTCAGGCTCTTCGCTTCCCATGGAGATCCAGATGTCAGAACCAGTGCCCACACATCCAGGACCTGCCTATCAAGTCCACATGCTATGAAACCACATAGACCCTGGAGGGTAGGGTGGGACTGAGGCCAAATTGTCACACAATGCAGACACTATGTCCCACTTACAAATAACCATTTTTTCCAGTGAGAAATATGCATGGTTCCACCCAAATCAGATCCCCAAGGTTTGCTCTCTGAGGTTCTGATTCAGTAACTGAATGAGAATTTCCAGCAAGTGTATTCCAGAGTTTAAGAACCAGCATGGAAGAGGGGCACACTCTCCTTCTCAGGTGAGAGATGTCTGGGAACTTCTCTTACAGAATACACCATCTCCCCCACACCCGGGAAGGGGGAAGGATGAGGCCAGGATAGTGTGCAGATAATCTGGTTTCAAATCCTTGCACCACTACTTCCTGCTTTGACAACTTGGGCAAGTGGCTGATCAGCTCTGAGCCTCAGTTTCCTTACCTGTGAAGTGGGGACAATCATAGCACCTGCCTCACGGTGCTGCAGTGAGGACTAATAATATGACACAAATAAGGTGCTTGGGACAGATACTTGCAGCAGCAGGTCCTGTCCTTTTTACTATGGTGGTTATTGTCATCACTGCTAATTTGGACAGCCAGCCCCTAAGACCCTCCGCAGACAAACTTCTCTGGCTGGAAAGGTGAGCTGGCTGAAAAGAAGGAAGCCTGAAACAGCACAATGGGGAGCTGGGTGATGAATATCTCAGTCTCCTCTCTCTTCGGTAGGACAACTCAGGGGTGTGTTAAGGTAGGGCTGATAGTTGCCCATAACTGCCCTCTGAGGCACCAGTGCTGGCCACTTTGCCTTCCCTCACTCCCCTACTCTCCCACTTCCCTGCTGGTGTGGGCTGGGATCTCCTCTCCAATAAACCAACTGTCTGCCCTTGAGTCCTTGTCTCAAAGTCTGTAGAAACATGGGAGGTCAACCAAGACACGATGATTATTACAAGAGGCAAAAAGCAGAACATCAGAGTGGTCAGTCCCAGAGCCCTCACACCAGAACCAAGCCCTCTGACCACACTCCTGTGTGTCTCTAAAGAGAATTTCCTTCGCAGGTGCTCTGTCCCACATGGAGGAAAAGGGGGCGGGGGGGGGGGGTTGGGGAGCACACAGCTGACGACCAGGAACAAACGTGTGCACCAGCCTGGCCCAGAGGCACCGTGACTTAGTGGGAACGGCTGCATGTGGTTCCAGACCTAAGCCTGACCTGAGGTTCTACCCTTGGACACCGTCTGCTTCGCTGGGGCCCAGGGTCCTCAGGCACAAACTGTGACGAGGGTCACATGAGAAACTTAATGCCCAGGTAAGTGCCCATGCAGGCAGCCAACAGGCAGTGTTTCTGCTTTCAGAGCTGAAGCACACCGAGTGCCCTCAGGATGCCCACATCCAGCCGGGAAACTTGACTTAAAACTTTCATTGAGAATGGTTTGTTGATGTCTTTTTTTTTTTTTTTTAAACTTTCAAGGCTAATAGAATAAGCTTGAGTTGTCCAGAAAAGTTGCTTATGTGGAACATCTCATTCCCCAAAGGAGCCACAGGCTAAATGAGACATCGTCTCCGTCTGAAAATTAAATATGTGAATTTATCTGGAGGGCAGGATCTGGGTCTTCCTCATCTTTGTAGCTCCCTTTTCCACTGCCTGCCTCGGTGCCCGGTCTGGGGGCTGGTGCTGAACACACTGGATCAGTATCAGAGATGGAGAGAGAGGAGGGAAGAACAAGGGAGGATCACAGATGGAAACCGAGTCCAACGTTACCGATGTAGGAGCGCTGATAGTCTCTATCACAATTTCTTTTTGAAAAATGATATCTGTTCCTTATACATAATTTCCCTTGAAGGTGGTGAAATACAAAAATGTCCCTCTCTGCATCCCTTCTCCCCGCCCTCTCTCCTCCCCCACGGGCATTTTCCTTCCTTGCTTTTTCTTGCAGGGCTGGTGGAGAGCTCCCCTTCCCCTCTGGACATGAAGAGGGGAGTCATGGGAAGGGAGGAAGGAGAAGTAAACAAAGATGGGGCAGGAGACTGGATTTTTATTCTGAGAGCAAGGGGAACCAAGGAAGGACTTTTGAGCAGGAAGGTGGAAGCCGGAGAGCATTTTGGAAAGGCCCCTCTGGCAGGATCTTTACCACCAAAGGGCACCAGGTTCCTTTCCTGCCCCCTTTTCCTAGTCACTGCGCTCAGCGCGCCTTCACGCTTCCTGCAGAATCAGGAAGCCAGATCAGGACCCCCTGTGCCTGGGCTTTGTTTCTCTGAATCGCCTGACCCAGCAGTTGTCTCAGTTTGGTTCCCCTCTGGTCTCTTCTTTGAGCCAAATGCTTCCAGAAACATCTCCGTATGTTCTCAGTAGAGGATATCAAACACCCCTTTCCTCACTGCTGACAACACAGTGGGGTTGAACTCTCTGGCCTTCAACTCCCAGGAACATAAATGAGAATGGTGCTAGGAAGTGTGAATATGTAAATCAGATCACAGGCCCCAGGGGCTGAATGACAAATTATCATGAGACCTCACCACTGTTCTCTCGCTAAGAGGATACTGTACCCAAAGCACAGGCTTATTCACTGCTGGGGAGGCCCCTCCAGCCCTCCTTATCCCTCAACTTCCCCGAGAGAGGAGAGAGTGACCATAGAGTTGTCATGGCTCCCAGGACTTGGAGGTGCTTATCAACACGAAGACCCATTTGTCATCCTTCAATTCAAGAAAGGCTGAGGGGAGAGAGTGGCAGGAGGGTTGAGAAAAAGACAAATAGCTCCAGCCCAGGGTCAGGTCGAGATCAGAGTCTCACATTCCGTTTTGATTACTTTGTTCAAGGAGGAGCAGAGCGGGGGAACATTTTTGCTGCCCTCTGTGTGGCCAGACCTTAGCTCATGTGAGTGGTTAGGAGTCCAGGTTCTTGAATCAAAAGGATTGTATGTAAGTTTGAAGAGCAGATCCACTCACCATGAGAATTTGGGTCAGCTATTTAATCCTAAAGATCTGTTTCCTCATCTGTAAAATGGGGATAACAACAGACCGTATCTTCCATGGTTGTTGCAAGGATTAAATGAAATCATGTATGTTTTTAGCAAAATGTCTCACACTTAGTAAGTCCTCAATATATAATATAATCATCAGCATCATCACCATCACTATC